GTAGGTAGTTGTGGCAGTGTTGAACGGTTGGTAGGGGTGTCAGTTCTATCAGGTAGAGCATATGCTGACTGGCTGCAGTCTTTGCTACCTAAGCAGATTTCATTTTAGATAAAGCCAACGTCAGCTACTGCTTTGAGTTGCCAAATGGGGGATAGTTGGTGTGCGATATTTTATGCATGCCCCAAAGGCTACGACTCGCACCAATCGAAATCAACTAAAGCTTCCCTGGAATTGACTGATTAAAGAACAGAAAAATAAACACAAAGCTTCCATCATTGATAACAGGAAAAAAAAACTATTGAAAAGTAAGGAAAAGTTGAGCAGACGCCGACAAACAAGTTCAGCATAGTGTTAACTAAGAATTGAGATGCTATAATGTATAATCAATCAAATCAATGTTTGTTAAGCAGTATTTAATATATATATATTTGATTCCCGAGTGAAGCAAGAACTATTAAAGTGTTCACAGCTGCAATCACTTGAATTGCTAATCAGTCATTCAAGTTGAAGGAAATGTTGAATAGAATTTAAATCGCTCATATCCTATCTGTGGACAGCGGCTTATTCAGCCATGACGAAACAACAAAGCAAAGTTGGGTTTGCTCTGGTGTGCAAAGCACTTGAGCGCATTTAATCGAGATATTGTTTTACTTTAATTACATAATAATTGACTTGTTGTTGTTTCTGCAATGCTAATAACTGCAAAACAGCTTATGGAAAAGGCAACGCACAGCAGCAACAACAAGAAAAACAACAAACAATAGCAATTGTGTACAACAAAAGGCTTTGCCTGCAATCGACGCAACCAACCAAATGAAACAAGCGAGGCAGCAACAAGAGGCAAGAGAACCCGACTAGAGAACCCAAGTTTGCCAATTATATAAGATGTAACCGGAGATTATTTTGATTTCATTTCTCTTTTAAGATTATACCTTTGCTTGTGTGCTATTTACATATTTGATTGGAAAAATCTAAAAATCCTGTGTGTATGTGCCAGCCAAAACAAAGGAGTAAAAGCTAGCGATAGTTAGAGGAAGAGACAGGGACAGGGGAACTTGTACAGGCGAAATCAAATTAGTGCCATAATAAAATTCATTTTGAAATTGCCTTTTGTTAAATACTGCTCCACCAACTTCTATACTTTATCCACATTTGCATTCAAATTGTAGTGCGTTTTTGAAGGAAAACACAATGGTGAAAAACACTGCATTTGAAGTGTTTCTTTAAATAATAATATTGGCTTTCCTTTCGAATTTTATTTAAGACATTTAAAAAAAAAATACTTTTTGTTGTAATGCATTTAAAAAATAAAATTGCCTTTAATAATGTTGTAAATGGCGTGGAAAAATGAAGAGTTAAATGCAGTTTCTTATTATGGATTATATTTATTATGCGCGAGTGCGTCTTTACTTGTTGAAGAATTGAGAGCAACTTTTGAACTTAGGAAAATACAACGCAGTAAGAAAGAAAGACAATTCATGTGTGACCAGATCTTCGATACTAATCGATATAGCGATACTTAAGTATTAATCGTTGCTGCGATATTCAAACATATTTCAACAAATAATATCATTTATTTACCTTGGGAAAGTTGAAAATATGTTTTTAACTCCTTTCAAAATGAGAAAACAAAATTACTTTAAAAAGCTCTTTTAAAGTCCGTGTCGCTTGGGCTCTTAACTTTTTGCCGGGCACTTTTAAAAGTCGGTCTGTAAAAGTTGACTTTGAACACTTTAACGATTCGCTGATTTTTCAAGAGTTGCACTTTTTTTCCATTCAGCATTCGGGCAACTCGCATTTCGAGTACTCTGTGCATGATTCTGGCCACATTTGGATACAACTACGCAAGCTCGGCGACCCGTCGCCTTCGCCGTCGTCACTCATTAGAAAAACGTTAGCAAAGTGGTAAAAAAAATATTACACTACGTGTGTTGCAGGGTGTATATGCAAAAAAAAAAAAAAGAAAAGGAAATAGAAAAGCGCATGTAAAGTTTGCCCGCTCGCCGAAGTAGCAGCTAAAAGAAGTAAAGGCAGAAGATAAAAAGGCAAACTGGGGAAAAGTTGATTACAAACTTTGGAGTAAAACACGCTCCAAAGAAACCGAAAAGGAAAAACTAAGTAAAGTTTAATATTTGATTTAAAAGTTGGTAAAATTTACTTTAGTCCACACTCAACTTGACGCGGCGAGATATTTGTTTTTATTGAATCTATTTGAATGTGTCTTGCACTGAGTTTATGCCCAACGAGGGGGTTGGGAACTGTGCCCTGCACTTGGTTTGTGTCTCAGCTAGCGCGTTGATTTTTCATTTCGCTGTGCAAATATGAAAAACAAACTGCAGACGAAACGCAACAATAGTCCAGCAGCAGCGGCAGAGATGAATGCAACGCAATGCAAAAAAAGTGGAAAACTACACAATGAAAATGGAAAAATTTTCCAAATGCCTTTGTTTGTTTGCACTGAAATGGAAACGCGGCCAGCAGCAGGAGAGCTCGGCATTGTTGTGAGCCAGGCTAAAAGCTATGGCAAAGAGCATACTAATTTGAAGATGAAGACTGCAAGTGCAAAAGAAATTGCATACAAAAATCCAAAGCCATAAATGTAAAGTGGAAATGAAGATGTTCTAAGCAAAGATGAATAACAGGTCATGTAAAAGTTGATAATTGAAAAATAAACGATTTGCAACAAACAAAACTTTCAAAACCAATCAACTCTAAAAATAACAATTTTGCAAAGCCTTGTGACAAATCGAATGATTTTGTAAGCCAATTATGGGAAAACTTGATAGCAGCAGACCATATTCTAGCTTGAAATATAAAATTATTTATTATAATCAGTAAATCCTAAAAAATATATAAACGCAAGGCATTTAAATTTCTTTAAAAAATCTTTTGTATTTTTTCACACCAAATTTTTCGCTGTTCCGCCGTTTGCGCACAATTCCCGCGAACATTTGGTAAATTTTCATTGGGCCTTGGGAATTATATTTGCCACATACACGCCAACTCTCACACACACACACACACACATGCATACCAGAGCACGCTGGGATATCACGATGAAATTTGAACAAAAACATTTCACATGCTATCGACTAATTTTGGCTGCAAAATTCCTTTAGGAGCCATTGGCAAATTGAGTTTGCGCTTGGAGTGGTTTTCGCTCCCCATCCGCCTTCAGCCCCGCCCTCTGCTATTGGCCAAAATGCAGTGCAGTGCAACTAACTCAATTTGGCGCCCATGTCACATACGTCAACGCGCAGCAGCCACGCCCATATTCGAGGCGCACTGCCAATTTGTTAGGTTCTGCAGCAGCACGTGCCACATCGCACGTTTAGCTGAGCTTATCATTTTCTCAAAGACTCTCTCTCATTCGTTGTCTCTCTGTTTAATATGCAAAACGTCAGCTGCCGAAAAACTGACAAAGTTGAAATAAATTTTTATTTCATGGACTGACTGACTTTGTTTGCACTCCTAAATCGGCAATGAACTTGCCGCAGAGCGAAAACGAAAAGCTCAAACCAAAACAAGTCGTGAAAAATATGCCAAGGCAGCAGCAACAGCAGCCGGCTTTGTTTGTGCCCCTAACTAGGCTCGAGGCGGAAAAAATAAGTAAAGTCTACTTCTGTGCGTCGTTTAAACGCCGCTCACGTAGCAGACGAGCACGGAACCAAAAAAAAAAATGAAGAAAAAGAAAAAGCAGTGAAATTGCAGACGTACCCAGAACCAAAGCAAAGGAACTGAAGATCTCGACAATTCGGGCTGAGCGTTAATTTAAAAACGCTGCACAGGCAGCTGCCAAAGTTTTTAATTTTAATTTCATAAATGCAATGAAGTGCAGCCCAGCCCAGCACAGCACAGCAAATTCAAATTCAAATTCAAATCCGTATCCAAATCGAATCACAGACGCAGGTGGCAAATGCTTAGCGTGGCGGAAATCATTTACAGACGCAGTGCGCCTAACTGGATTTCCCAGGAGCACTGCACAAAGTTTTTCATACGCCCCGTTGTACGCCCAGGCAAAAGGCAAACGGACCCCCAAATCAAATGTAAAAAAAGTGGGTGTGTGCTTGTCAGTCAGTCAATCAGTCAATCAGTCAGTCAGTTAGTCAGTTAGACCGTTAGTCAGCACGAGTTGACGAATGTACGGAAAACCACGTAATGACAAAAAGACCCCAAATACACACACACACATACACACACACACACACACACACTTAGATGGTAAAATATTTTCACGTTTCGCTTTTCGCATTTACATGAAGACCCCCTTGGCATGTGTGTGTGTGTGTGTAAAAAACAATTAACGCATTTCCAGCCAAAAAGGAGTGACTCATGCGGCAGTAGCTGAAAATTCAAGCGTTAGATTTTTCCACGTGCGATTCTGGTGGAAAATGTTTGCCGGCTCTGCGGTGAAGTCAACAAAAAGCAGCCGGGTTTAAGGTGTGCTCGTTGCAATGTGCAGGGGCTGAGTTGTGGGCTTTTCCGGTCATGGGTTAAGGCCGGGGCAATTGACAAACAGACACCGAATGAGCTAAGACCAAATAATATGCGTCATATAGAAATAAACTCATATATATGTATATATATACATATATCTCAGGATATACAACAATATTTAATGTTTTATTTTTAAATATAATATTTACATTTTTTAATTTCGTTTTCTTTATTGATTTATAAAGATCTATAAAGAAGACAAACAACAAATTTAAATATTCGGAATAAATATAATACATTATTTATTTTAATTTATTTGCTTATTTTAGTTTATTTGCTTATTTGTAGTATGCATAATAAACGCTATATAAATTTCATAAATTTGTTTTCAATATTTATTAATTTTTCATTAAAAAAAACATAATAAATACAAACATAAAACTATTTTTGTATTTATTTCTATGCCTCATTTTTTTAAAAAAATTAATTCCCAAGATTTCTGCAGAATGATTTTTTACACACTGCTGACACATTTAAATATGGAAGCTTGATTGCGCACTCACCATTTGCTGTTGATTCTTTGGCTTCTTGACTAGATCGGGCACCTTGAAATTGGTAACGGCCTCAATGACCTCAGCCAGCAGCAGGCCATCGCGACAGTCGGCCGAAAGATCAGTGACCTTTCGCTTCGATTTGGAACGTTCCAGATAGTAGTTGGCCCAGTCCGTGTATATCTGCAAGCACAAAAAAAGTAGTTGGGGTTCAACAAAAAAATACAGTTTGTTCTGCAAACAAAATGGCCATTAGAAGCAGTAATTAGGCATTTTTGGACACTTTCCGACAGCTGTTCATGTTGCACAAGCTGCACAAGTTGCAGCAGCCACTGGCTGGATTATCAGGAAATCATTAGCAACAAAAATCTCTTGCCCCAGACAGCATATGTACAAAATATTTGCCAGTCTGCAGTCTCTCCTCGACGCAAATTATGCTCCAGCCATTTAGTAGCCAAAAATCCTCTAAAGAGTCGTTAAGAAAATCTGTGCGACTGTGCGACAGTTTGTTGCCATCGACGCAACGATGAGCTTTGTCTGTGTGTAAGTTTGTGCATGCGTATTTGCCACTCAATGTTAGTAAATATAATTATTGCAGGACAGGACTTTTGTGGTCTTATCTTAACATAGGAAATCCTGAGAGCATATGTTGCATGCTGCCCAAAATATGCAGCACACAAAATGAATTATTTATATAAGATATTTTTTGTGAACGCATAACAAAAAGTATTTTTCTCTCAATTATTAAATATTTCTCTTGCTGAAACTTCAATTTACGAGTTTAATTCCATTTTAAATTTGTTGTAAAATATTTTCTTTCAAAATTTCAGTTGAATTTTTGTGTTATCAAAATGTATAATAAAAAAATGTTGTTATGAGAAGAATCCAAGTCGAATTTTGCTGGGCTAAGCAAATATTAAAGTTGATTCCATGTATGCACATAGAATTCACAGTAAACATATTATCTTTAGGTATATTCATTTCACTAGATTTAATATAGAACCTAATTTTATGAAATTATTATTGTCGCATTTTCTTGGTCTATTACCAAGTGAGTAGAAAACTTTTGCAATGTTTTCCAGACTGGATTCTGCTACTGCTGCTACTGTTGCTGCTGCTGAGAGCTGCTTTGTCTTTTGTGCACATCGTTAGCCACATCCTTGCGTAGTTTTTATTATAGCTCATCCGGCTAATTCCCATTTTCTATTTTCCCTCCCATATGCATGCGACAGATTTTATGTTCGCCTTGCTTGGCAATAAAAATAGCTGGCATTGTGCTTTTAGCCCGTCTGTTTGTCTATCTTTTTGCCAAGTTACGACTGAGCTTTGCAGCAGTTAGGAAATGGCAGGGGAAAGAGTTCTTAACAATGGTTTGGCCTAGACTTAGTTAGCTCATGCAATTTTTTTGTAACTCTCCCTCTGCCGGGGGTATTAGGCTCAAGCTTGGACTTTGGATTTGGCTTTGGCTTTGGCTTTGACTTGTACAAAAATAAAGTGAAACTTGCCACTGGCAAAATAGCTAAGCAAATGCAATGGCAAACAGCAACTGTAACTGTAGCTGTAGCTGTAACTGCAACTGTCACTGTCAGTGTCAGTGGCATTGGCAATGGCAATGGATATAGCCATGGCCATAACGAGTAGCAAAAACTGGCTAAGCCAATGCCGCAAATATGCTGCCTGGGGTCTAACCGAATGTGGCATCCACAAACAACCAACAGTAAACGGCAAAGGAATCGACTTTGTTTCGTGTTTTGGTCCTGTCCTGCTGCGAGTCCAGCTTTGTTTTGCCTTTGGCTTTGCCTTTGCCTTGCCTTTGCCCGAGTCTCGACTCTAACCAAATAGCCATAAACTGTGGAGTTGTCTTGCTTTATAAAGAGGCAGCTGCCCTGGCATGTGTTTGTGGCAAATATGCCAGCACTTCTCATCCACCCTCCATTTCCCTCTAAACATTCCTCCTCTGCTTCGCTTCCTATAGCTGCAATCAGCTTGACAACCCCATGAGCACTTCAACTGACAAAATGTGTAAGTAAAATTCAGTTAGTGCTGTATAAAGTGCAGAGTGTGTAATAGTGTTAAGCAATTTTCATTGACTAATCAACTCGGAACTCATCTTCTTCTTGCTCTGCTTTACAAACCTTTGCGTAGTCGCGCGTCAATATGCCATTGATATTATCGCAGGAGCCCTGGTAACTGACACAGCGTCCCAGCATCCTGGCACTTATTTCCTTTGTAATAGTTTATAGTTATATATTTTTTTAGCACATTTGATGTTAAATTAAATAGAAAATTTAGGAATTTTTTCTTTGGTTTCTTTTTATTTTAAAAGTCAGTATTTGGTCATTATTTATTGCTTGGTGACCTCAATACTATTATTACAATATGTTTCTTGCCGGATCCATGGCAAAAAACATATTTTACTTTGATCATATTTAAACACAATTCGCTGTAGAATTAAAAAAAAAACTTCACATTGGCAAGACATTTTTTATTTATATAGAAAATTTAGTAATTTTTTCTTTGATTTGTTTTTATGGATAGTATCCAATCTTTTAACACTTTGGTAATTATTTTTTATTCGGTGACCTCCTTTTTATAATTACAATATGTTTTTTTATCGGATCTATGGCAAAAAACATATTTTACTTTGATCATATTTAAACACAATTCGATGTAGTATTTGAAAAAAGACATCTTTTATTTAATGTATATTTTGTATATCGGCAACTATTAACAGATGTTTTATTTCCTAGTACTGCGAATATAATCGGTTCTAGCACGTTATTAACAATTTTGAAAATTACGCCAAAGCCGTTTTATGTTTCCCTTTAAAATGTTGATTGCAGCTCTCGACACTTTCTGAGCTCCCACCTCAATAACCCTTTCCGCTGTAATCATTTTTTTCCACACTCATATTATCACACATTATACACCTTTTTTGTCATATTTATGGGACCCTCGGCAGTTTTTAAGTCCGTGTATCTACAGCTTCATAAATATAAAATTACCGCTTTAAGCACCAGGCGAGTAAGCAAAGTGTTTTTATTTTTTGTTCCTTACTTTCTGCTTGCACCATTAAAATGTCAATTATGATAAAGTTTTATTGAAACACCGCAACACATTACGGCTTATCAGTGGGGCCAGGCGGGGCCAGCCGCCCCGAAGAGTATGCAATAATAATAATAAACATTAAGCTTCATTTTTTACCCTTTTCAACGGCAGACATCCCTGGCCCAAAACGGAAAAGAGCCGAACCGAACGGAACGGAACAGAACGGAACGAAATGGCGCGGTCGCGAACCGGTCCGGCCCATTTCATGTTGTTGCTGTTTGGTTCAGGCGTTGAAAGTCACACGCCCACTTGGGCAAACTAATTGAAAATGAAAGTGCCCTTCAAGAGTGGGGCAAACAACAACAGGTTGGCTGCCAGGCAGCAGTCAGGCCCCGTTGTTTGCTAGTCCCGGCTCATGCATAATTGGACCTGACACCCTTGTCAACGACAGTTCTCTACAGATTTCGAACGTAAACAATTTTGTTGGACTGATAAATTTTTAGTTTTGTTGCTTGTTGCCCGGGGTCCGTCGCACCGTAAGCAAAAGGGGTTGACAAATCGTGCTGGAAATCAATTTGGTCTAGGCGAAAAAGGTCAACAGCCATTTGGTAAATGAAAAAGCGCTTACCAAACAAAACTTGAGACCTGTAAATGCCACGCCCATTTAACAGGAAGCTGCCCGCCCATCGTTTTGCTCTTATCTACGTATGAGTTGTCTTGTCTTTTCTTCTCTCTGCTGTCGCTGGGGCTAGAACTCTCTGTCCGCAGGCGTTTGGCGCCAAGTACTTTTGTGAAATGTCAGTAAAATGTCAAAATAAAAGTAATGCTGATAAAAATTTTATAGCTTGACAGAAATGCCAACGAAAAATGCCACTGGGGGGTTGTTTCTCATCTTTTTGCTTTTCTTTCTTTTTTTCTTTCTTTTTTTATTTTGTTCCGTTTTCTTCTTTATCAAATGTTTCGAGTTGGGTACTTTAGTTTATTGGAATTTGCATGTGGCAGCTATATACAAGTATATATTCACCCACATATATACATCGACAGGTGGCAAAGTAATGCGAATTCTTAACACAACAAAATTTATGTTAAATCGAACGACAACCAGCAGTTAAAAAAAGGTCGATTTATGTTTTATCTTTTGGTTTCCAGTTGCTTAAAACATCTTTACAGCTTTAGATACTTCGAGCTTTAAGGCGCATTCAGGTGTGTTTGATAACACACAGCAACAAAGTACCGACGCCCATCAATCAATACAAAATATAAATTCGATTATTTTGCATTTATAAATTAAGACTTGCCTTGAATACAATTCAATTAACATGCCATTAAAAGTTGTTTTTTTTTCCCGTAAGGCTCTTATGTTTATGAAAATTTTGTAGGATGGTGTAATCGATAAGATTAGTGAAAGCCATTGACAACCTGTTGGGCCTAAGCCCAAAATTGCTTTGATAAGTAACACAACAAGTGAAGAGCCACCCTCGATTCGTGATGGAGCTCAGTCTGCCAGCAAAGCTCATTAAATTTGATTGTATTATCGACGCTTTATCACATTTGACCAAAACTGCACAGCGCTGAGCAGCTCTCAATTCGATTTGCTCAAAGTCAACGGGCGGCGAAGAAGTTGCTTCAAAGGAAAATCTCTGCCAATTGACACTTGAAAGTAATGTCAAAACAATCTATGGCACCTTTTGCTTCATGACTTTGATTTCATTACCAGTCAGCAGCTGCAGGGAGGAATGGCTGCTTTGATGATGAACGCTGCCTGATTGGCGACGTGCTGATGTGCCCAATCAGCCAAGTTGTCATGTGTTTGAGCAGCAGGTCCAGATCGAGTCAATTCAGTTCAGAGTGGCAACAGTCATTGCTTTGTGTCCCAGCAACAACATTTTATGTGGCATGTGACATAATTTGAGTGGAATCATTGATATAAACATGCTGTAAAAACGTTGAATGCATTTTATCAAATAGTCGCCCACAGTGTTTTAATGGACACTTCAACTATTTGGTTAATCCAATTGATGGCTTAACGGAATTTTAATGCAGGGATTAATTTTTACTTTATTAATAGAATAGAATTATCTAAACAAACAAAAAATAGAAAAAACAAACTATAAAAACATTTTTATAAACTTATT